GCTGATAACAAATGGGGTTAGGATATTAACAAGTTTAGTTAGGAAATTAACAGTAGTGGATGGGGTATTAACAAGTGAGTGGTTATTTGCTGATGACAAGTAAGGGTTAAGACATTAACAAGTTCACTTAGGAAATTAACAACTCATGCATGCTAACCTAAAATCAAAATATACATTGCAAGAAATCGAGCATATCACCAATCTGTAGCAACAAGAATGAGATGACTCTAAAGTACTTCAAAGCTTGAAACTTATGCTTGAACCTAAAAATACATTTCCTAAGTAGAAACCAAGTAGTATGTATTAAATTTGAAGTCTCAAGTATTAGTCAACGTAATGATAGTTAGATTAATTAATTAGTTCAGGGATGCCTATAGTGTTCATATAATATCTGGTTATGAAACCATACTAGGCATGTCTACATATACTGAGTGCATTAGAACAATAACACAAGCTTATCTTCCTGATCACTCACTCTCTCTCTCTCTCTCTCTCACCTATAACTTTTATAATGTTATAAGCAATTAAGTCTTCTATCATTGCAAATGTGATTCCATTAGAGATTTCAGTTGCAACAAAAAGAAAAATAGTTTTAAGCTAAGGATAACATTACTAAAACTAACTAACTTCACTTCAACCAATAACATGTATTATTATTGATGGTCAAACAGATATGACTACTCTTATCATCCATGAAAACATGTTAATCTTAACTCCTATGAAGTATGGAGTGGGAACTAGTTTGGACACATGAAAGGCAACATGATAAATGCCAAAGCTTATAAAACATCACATAAACACATTACACACTAGTTGAACCATTGTAACCATAGTCATAAAACTGAATCATGAAATTGTTCATTCTTCATCAAGTAGTCTAGTTCAAATTTGAAATGCTAAGAAAACCTAAAAAAGGAGAAAGAAGTATTAAGAGAAGGAAAAAAACATAATTCATATAGCTTATATGTCTTTGACACAGCAACATAGGAAATTGACAAGTAGGATTCAGAAAAGGCTCATCCCATGTTACCTAATGCACATCTACATGGGGTGAAGACAAAACAACTTGACTTAAAAAATTAACAAGTAGTGTATAGGACATTAACAATTGAATGGTTATTTGTTAATGACAAATAAGGATAGGAAATTAACAACTTATCTTGGGAAATTGACAAGCATGCATATAAATTGTACATATAGGTGGTTTGGTGTTGGTTATAGGTTTATGATTCTAATTTTGACTAATATTAAACTTTGTAAATTTTCAATCGATTGTAGATAAAGGGAAAAAGAAAGGCCAATATTTTTAGTTATGCAAAGTCTGTAGAAGAATTATACAAGAAGACAAGGGAAGTAAAAATCAATTGGCAAAGGACAGAGAGATTTGACAAAAGCATGGGACAAGGTGTCAACAACAAAAAAGGAGGGAATACTCAAAGAAGTAAAGGAGAAGAGAGGAGAGACAACTGTTAAATATACTGTATCCTTTCACACTCATTGCTCTCCCAGTCAGTTTTCAGAGGTTGCCAAGTTTGTTAAGGGAAAGGATAAATTAAGGAAAAGGTGAGAAAATTGGCTTTGACAAACTGCTTAGTATAGGATGCAAGAAAATATACAGAGATATCTGCGAGAGTTGATGCAAAACACTTGATCCCCATGCAAGAAATATGCATTAGAGGGAAAGTAAGAAAAATGAATACAAGGATGTGTACAAAATTTAATAGGCATAAGGAATGAAAGCAAGGAGATAACTGGAAAGTAAATATTAATGACAAATCATTTAAAAAATTGAAGGAAACTTATTTTAGAATGCCCTACAAGAATAATTTAAAAATAATAACATCTGAAAAGAGGATACTCAGTTCAAGTTGTTGTTTCTAATGTATACTTTGAAACTTTGCTTTGTCCAATAGCAAGTATAGGGGTTAGTGACCATGTTTTAAAGGTTATACATGAAACACGTAAAGGAATTAGTAAAAATGATTAGGCAACATATGTATTAAATGAACTATGCAATGAAATGGACATGTGGAAACAACAAACTCATAAAGGGAAGACAAATGGAAGGAAGAATATTGGAGGATACATCTATTTCTTATGGTAAGTGTGTGGTTTTAATTTATAACTTGATAAAATACAGCTTGTTGTAGTATCTTGAAAGTAATGTGTCAAAATTTATGTAGGTTTATTGCTTCCAATATTTTCCGCTTGGCCAAAAGAAGCACCTAAGCTCAATGATGCCTTTGCATATTGGTAAGGAGAAAAGTTGTTGAAAGGGTAAGGGTAGAGAAGAAGAGCATCCGAGGCTATTGCATGATTCCATGCGTGTAGATGGTAGTTCTTCTATCAAGTTTTTATCCAACATATGCTTTAGTCACCACAGTATGTATCGAAAGTAGTCCTTCATTCATGTACCAATTTTCTCATACTGACACATAATTTATTTTGTAGGAAATAAGGAAAATGTATGCAAGAATAGTGTCTATACTTGGTGAGGAGCTGATGAACCTACAAATGAAACTTCTATGGGATATAGAAAATGTTGACAGACAGAAGGAGAGGGTGATGAAAATAGAAGAAGAAGCCATAAAGATTTTAAAGAGGAGGATGAGAAGAGGAAGAGGAAGTTGATGAGGATGATTCAGAAGAGGCTAATGAGGATGAAGAAGGTGAAGGAAAGGATGAAAAGGTGATAAGAAAAGCTTCGAAGAAGGTGAAAGACGAAGATGAGCAGTAGATGAGGAGAATGCTAAACTAGCTAAAGAGAAGATGAGGAAAATGCATGTGCACAAGGTATTTCACTCATTTGTCATGCCAACAAGTACATTCATGTTTTGCAATATCTACAATCAAATGAGTTATTCCATTTAGGAGAAAAAGGTTTATACTGAGATCCAATTTTCTCCATAAAATGTACATGCAAATTTTTAGCCCTCGCAACTTGCTCCATCATTTTGCCTCTATATCAAGTTCTACCCCATATTTTCAATGAATGAATCTAGCCATTTCGAATTCATCATCTTATTTGCCATTTCTCTCTCGATGCTTATGTATTAAACATTAACATGTGCTTTTGCTCCTTCACAATCCAAGCGTTAAATAATTCAGCGAGATTTGTTGTAATGTTATCCCATCATTTATAAGAAACTTACATTGTGCCCATCGAGCTACATCCCCTTAAGCTTTAACCCATTAGTGAATTGGACCAAACAATCTAAGAGTTCCTATGGCATATTAAATTCTTCCTTATGTCTAAGCATAAGCAACAACATCAAGCAATTTGAATGCAGCCTTTTTTGCTATTCCTCGAACCTCCTCCTCTTACCTTGTTGATTTTTTACATATTCAATACAAAATTTTCCTTCACATGACGGTTGTAAATATGCATGTCTCTCACAAACCAAAATAGACTTGTCGATCCCAACATGGCATTATGCCTATCAAAAACTATGTTATGTTCATTGATCTTGTATGTCTTTGACATTTTTAAGAAACCAGACTAATTTTCAAAATGTTTTCTCCTCACTCAGATAGCGTATGTTGCGAAAAATAGTCATTGTTTGTATCATAAGCAAAGCTGCCAATTGTAACATCCTGATTTTTATATAATAAAGAAATTGTGGAATTTAGGTTTTGAGGAAAAAAATGATAATAATAGGAATTTATATTATTTGAGGTTATTTAGAAATAATATTATGATTAGGTATTTAATTATGAATTTAAAAATTTAAATTTAAAACCCACATAAGCAATATTTAGTTAAGATATAATACATAAATAATATTTTTTTATGTGTGTGTTAAAAAAAAAAAAGAGAAGGTAGAAGGAAAAAAAAAAGGGGGGGGTGGAAGGTTGTTGTTTCTAAGTCCCACATTGGTTAGATGAGGGAAGAGAAGAGGTGCCTTCATGTATAAAAAGGAGGGGGTGTGTGCATTAGGAAGCATGAGAGGCTAAGATGCAATTTAGAGAAAATTGCAACTTTGGGC